TTTTTTTTTCAAACAATAAAATGATATTAGGATTGAATTAGGTGGCCCGAGTTTGGGCTGTATCTGACACTCAGTCCGGGATCTAAGTTGAGGCTGGCTCACCGTGAACTAACCAAAAGCAGAGCACGTCTAAAACCAGTAGAATTTATCCGAATGCAATCTCGCCTTATATGCTTCAGTTCAGATACACCCTAGAGCTGAGACTGAGTTCAACTACTCCGGGTAGCTCTCGTTTCGTTTCGCCGAACACTGTTGTGTAACTGTGCTAAATTCAGCCGACTGCCATAATAAAAACTAGATCAAAAAATAAAAGAACTTACCTGATTATCAATGATAACCGTCTGTAAATGACGCGTTTTTCCTGGTGTCGAAGAGGTGGAAACTTTTTTAATGCCCAAAATGCGATTAATTGTCGAGCTTTTACCAACATTCGGATAACCAACCATACCAACGACTAGTCGATTACTTGCAATATCTACCGACGCGGCCCGTCCCACCCGTTTCAAATACGCAATTAGGATCTGTAAACTAAATGTGATCGAATCCAGTCACCTAATAAAACTTACACAAAAACTATCAAATTCGTCACCATAAAAAACAAAATCAACATATGATAATCTTCCTCACCTCCGGTGATTTGATGAATGGAGCCTGGCTGCATCTTATATTACTTTCTTTCAAAACATTGTTCATGTCTGCAGTTCCCTCTTTTCCGATAACCTGTCCATGTTCCGGAATGCCGCCATCGGAACCCGCACCACCGGACTCAGATTCCGATGGTGTTTTCGCTTGATCGCCATCATCATTCCCTTGCTCCTCTAATGTCTCCTCTTGTTCTTCCAAACTTTCCAATTTCGATTGCTGTTTTTGCTCTTCTAAAGCACTCCTGCAATGCTCTGATTGCAAACTGTGCCAAATTGCAAAACTTGCATACAAAATGAACTGATTCAAAACTAAAGACTTGAGACCAACTTCAGACTAAAAAGATGAAGTTCGCAGTGCAAGCAAGAAAACGAACCAAAAGATGACATCAATGTTATTTTGGAGAAACCATTTACGCCAAAGATCGATCTGTCGATCGGTAAGGAGATCAGCTTTATTGATCAAGATTATATTATGTTTAGCTGGGTCGCACTCCTTCACGTACGATTCCAAATCAGCATTCCGAAATAATAACGGATTCCGCGCATCAACTATCTTAAACGTTACCGTTCACATTGAGAAAACTATCAAAAGAAGAAACTAAAACGCCCAATAAGAAACTAAAACGTCACCTGAACAACGATATCACTTCGTTCAATGACCCTCCACAGTTGACGCCACAGCTCAAGATTACGTTCGAATGGCGTCAGAACAAGACCATCTACCTTAATCAAGTTTATTTCACATTCACCACTGCTTCGGACTCCTAAATGAATGTTCAACTGAATAATGTTATCTAAGTCATTTTCAATCAAAACAATACGAAATATTTACCTCCTGTAACTCAGCGATGCTTTTCCTCCATTCCAAAAAATTCTCATTTTCCAATGCATTCAACTGTTCGGGTGTCTCCCACAACCTTTTACTCGGCCGACGTGGTATCAAAAGGCGATGTGAATATTTTTTTTGTAATTCTAAACTTGAGCTGATATCTCCTCTTGTTGGTAGAGAACAATTTGTTGCATTCCTACAACAATTTACGAAAAATTTGCATTCAATCGCAAAAAACCAATGAAAAAATAAATGAACTGGTCGATAAACAGTAACAATTATGACAAATCAACTAGCACAATCAGCGATAACAACTAACTCAATTAAACGAAAGTCAGTAAGACGTTCCGCTGTAAATTCTGTGCTAGCAAGCGTCGCTTTCGCCAGAAATTCATCCAAATTCGTCTCGTCCGTTACAGAGTCGATGTTTTTTGCAGCTTTCTAAAAGATTTTCGCATAATTATTGATCTCTTCAAAAGCATCAATATTACAAAATTGTTTGAGTTTGGGTTTGATTCATAAATGTAAAAAATTTAGGAGATGCTAAAAATGATAAGCGACAACTTTATCTGAACGTGAGCTAAAGCA